GTTTTTGATCCAAGCTCAGAATAAATAGCATGAAAAGTAATTTTAATTTTTTTCTAAAACAACGAACTCATTGTGTTATTTCAAATAAACTTTGATCAATTTAGTACGATCTTGTTCGTTATAAATCGTTGAACATTTAAACAGATTCAAAATTAACCTGTTAAATGAAGGACCAATTAATTTGTTCGGGCAAACTTAATAAAACGAAGAATAAACAATAATTTTGAAATATAATAATACCAACAAATAATTTTAACATGACAGAAAACAATTCAAACTTAATGGTAACATGTTAACACATTAAAGAAATAAAAACCAAACAAAAATTCAAAATATTGCTCGGTTTTGAACAAAACATTTAACAAAAAATATCAACGGTTAACATTTTCGATCGTAATAAAACGAATAAGCGCATAATATAACCAAAAGGCAAGTTCCAAACAAAAATTTAACGCTTAATTAGGTCCAAACAAAAATTCAATAATTAAAAATTCAAACCAAAATTCAATGATTTTATACAAACAACTTTTTAAGGTTCAAAATAAAATGTAAACATTAACTTTTTTCGAAATTTTCGCAGTAAAAAAACATATAACATTTGAAGAGGGAACGGTAATAAACGATTAAATCAAAAAGAACCAAATGAAAAAAGGCAAAATAAAACATCAAAAAATGAAATTGAAAAAAAAACATAATTTTCAAACAAAAAATCGAATTTAATAAATTTACAACATTTAATTCAACATAAAAAAACTAACAATGCGATGATCAAAAAAGGGAATTTCTCAATAAAAAAAACGAGAACGTTGGGTGAGGATGAACATAACCAGTTTAACAATATAACTCAACAACTTTTTCAAACAATAACAATATCAACAAATAAACAAAAACAATTGGAAGTAACAATTAATATTATAGTACCAAAATAATCAATGGAAATTAATAAGTTGTCAAAATTTACACGAGGCTAAAAAATGAATGAATTTTGATCATAAAATAAATATAGTAAAAAAAGCAATTTACAGAAAATAAAAGTATTCATAAGGCAAATAATAAAGAAACTAAATCTACGAAACGTAAAGACAGATTAATATTTCTTAACAACTTTCCATGAACACTAGAATCTATAAGTCTTACGGATTAATCAAACTAATTCAGTAATTGGAAAAAGAAAATAAATGAAAAAAACCTGCTGAACAGGCAATCCGATGAAATATTTTAACGCATAAAATATATCTTCAATAAATTTTGATGTAAAAGTAAAATATTTGAATAACATAAATTATTTGATGATTGTAAGGAAATACCAAAATTAAACAAAAATAAAACTTCGAAATGGCATAAGTTATAAATGAAAAAATTGTCAAAAATGTATCTTGTAAATTTTGATGCAAAGTAAGTTATAACCTAAATATCTAAGGTAAATAATAAAATCTACCTAAAAAGCAAAAATAAAAAATTGAATTTTACAAAGTTGGTGAGTTGAATTTTCATAAAAGTTTATATTGAAATCAAAAATTTTGAATATTAAAATCTATGCTACAAATAAAAAGAGTTGAACTACAAATTCTAAAAAAAAAAACCTAATACTAAGTTTTAAAAAATTTTCATCCACTTTTTCAAAGCGACTGAGCCGCAAATAAAATAAAAAACAAAAATAAAAAATAATAAAGCCAAAAACTAAAATTCGACGTAGGTAATTGAATAATACTCCGTATTTTCCGCTTTCTATAGGCATAAAATTGAAATATTCATAAATACGATAAATCAAAAAAATGTAATTAGTAAAAGATATACATTTGTAATAACTTTGCAATGCCACAATCTATCTATTCATACCTTTTTGTATTTAAGAACAGCGAATACGGAGATACTCAATATTAATGGGGGGGATAACGAAAATAAAACGATAGAAAAAAAGTATTCTCACAAATACGTGATAATAAATTCAGAGAAATAAACGAACAAAATTTGTAAAACAAAATAAATAATTGCAAGAATCTTCATACTTTTTGAAGCGGATGAACACGTTCATTCAAAAAGTGCTGCGTTCAGTGATTGAGTTCTAAAAAAAATACTAACCCTTAGAACTATTTCCTTTATACGCTAATTGTATTAAATAATTGTTGTCAATGAATATTTAACTCATTCTGTAAATAATTCCATTAGTTAGTATGTCAAAGTATCTTTTACAACTCAATCACTCTAATTTTGCGATGATGCGAGGTTTACCTAAAACAAATCATAAAAAACTATCCTACGGAAGTTTTTACAAAACATTCAATAGAATAATAAATTTATACTTGATTCATTGATTGAATCAAGCTTGTTTTTCAAAGTATGAATAATGGAAATCTATATTTGAATTTCACGGAATTTTCAATCATTAATCGAATGAACCGTATAGTAAATTCTAATAGGATCCAAAAAAATTGATTCGTTATCAATGAATTATCTTAATCAAAAATATTGATATACGGTTTTTTGTTTATTTTTTTTTTTTTGATTTTTTTCTTTCAAATTGTTATCGAATAAAAAAATAAAGTTGCTCAAATTCAAATGATAAAACTTAATCAAAGTAAATAAAAACATAATAAAAAAATTAGATTCATCTCATCAAAAACTATCATATTGCTTATTCGTGAGCTCTGAAAATTTAGAACGTTGTAAGTGGAAACGTTTCGGTCGCCTAAAATTATGTGTGAGTGTCGAAATTGTGGAAGTTTTAATTTTGATTACAATCAGCGATAGTAAAATGATAGTTTTGAATGAGAGGAGGCCAAAATGATCGAAACCAAAAAAAATTAAAAATAACAGTGAAACAATTAACAAAAACAAACATGTAAACAAAATGAAATAAAATGATAAAAACTAAAAAACAAAACAAAAACAAACAAAAACAAATAATCGTTGATCGAGATTAGCATGCTGCTTTCTCTTTCTCTTTTGATAATTTGCTTGACAGTGCATTAAAATTTAAAAACAATTATAGTTCAAAAGAACAGCAAATAACAATAATATAACTCTAGCTTATCTTAAGAGTGTGAAAGCTCTTAACTCTGAAAGACAGCCGTGTGGTGTGAGTGATTTTTGGAGCGCAATCATTCTATTGGTTTTGATATCTTGAGCGAGGGCCTTGATTGAGTTACTTTCAAGTTACAGTTATTATACAGTTATGAAAACAATCGATTTTCACTGAAGGAAGTTTTAAGAATATATTTCATTTTATCTCATTTTTCTGTTTAAGTTTACGGAGACAATAAGATTTCAAACGTTTTTGCACGTTGAATTATCAAAAATCTTGTGTGAAAAATTATGTTTTTCAATTAATATAAAATGAAATATATCTCATTGATATTTATGAGAATTATTTATCTACTTAAATGAACTCAACTTATTGTTAATATGTTATAAAAGTAATTATAATTTTGACCAAAGCCCTCTTAGGCTGCGTTAAAATGTGCTCAATACCGATTTAAATTATACTTACTGTAAAATTTTTAGATTTTAAATCGAAAAGAAAAATTTAGACTGTAACATTTCGAAATTAATGTTTTTGTAAGCTTATAGTCAAATATTGAGACATTTAACTCAGCGACTATGAAAATTTTTAGTCCAGTTGACAAAATTATTGAGTGGTAAGTCTTATTAACATTCAGATCTGATTAAGTGGATGTTGGTCAATTTAGCTATAATTCTATATCAATATATAAATGAATTAAAATATACTGTGGAACGATAACTTTACGTTATAAGAAGGGGTGGTGAAATCCCACGACGGCGGCTGGTCTCGACGAGAGAAAAAGGTCCCACGATGAATAAACGTAAAAATGCCCACAATTTTATTTGCTTCGTCAGTGACAAAGTCTTTTGAATATTTCTGAAAATTATTTAGAATTATCTTTAATATAACGGTATTCCAAAGCGCACTTGATGCGTGATTGTGTATTTGATTTCCATTTTCTTGGTTGCAGATTTTGTGAATCAAAATAAATCGTCGCTATGGATTTGATGAATATTATTGGTGGAGTTTCATGTTTCAAAATAAGTTGCAAATAAATTCTGGAGTGGTGAAGCACAATTAAATATTTTGTTGTCCATTAAACGGTGTGAAAAAATTCCCAATGAAAACGGAAAAATATCTGGAACCAGGCCGAGAGCGACGAGATTTTCGAAGAATTTTAATTGAGATCAGTTAATTTATTGAAGTGGAGTTTAACGATCTAGTACTTGACGATTTAGCGATAAGTTCTCTGGTTGATTAAAAATGATATCCCAGGTAACTAAAATGAATCATGATGTCTGTAAATAAATCCGTAAAATAATTGAGTGATGCTTCTTCTGACAATGACACTGGTAATGACTGATTATTTCTGAACCAGATGTTGAAATTAAATGTTAAGTCCAGATGTTTGTATGCAGAGGTAAAAAATTGCACCGGATAATTTTTAGAAATTTGTCAAAGCAAAAGAAGCGTTTTTTGATCAAAGTACTTTGTAATAGTAGTTGTCACCCAGAATCAACCAATCCTTGACATTGGTGGTTGAATGGCACGAGTTTCCGATATTTTGGAACGAAATTGGCTAATGGGCCTCTTCGTAACTGTGCGTCACCCATCGTCGAAAAGTTCTTCTCTTATGTTGTGGAAATTAAAAGCGTGGCTATCGTTGGCATATGACGGTTACCAATAAAATAAAAACAGTTTACCTCGCTTTTTGGTACGAGTCATTACAAAAGCTATTTTTCATCTGTAAAGCAACGCGTGAAAATGAAATGTTTAAACTAAAAATAAACGTGTTTGGTCTATTGCATGTTGAATTTTCTTGATAAAATTTGTTCTCTATGTGCTTCGTCGACGGTCTATTGGAAATGGATGACTCGGATGACGGTACTTCAAAATAAGTTCAGAATGTTTCAGTCACCGGCAAATCAAATGACGTTTACCACTCTAAATCGTGAAGTACTTTAGCGACTTTTGTGACCTGTTTTTATTTATTTAGTTTTTTTTTTATCGGTGATGAATAAGCCCGGTTATTCATTTGATGATGCAATTGTTGATCATTTTTAACTGTATGTTCTTCTTGTTCTGCTACGGGTTCTTCTGTGATTTAATCAGTAGTGATCTCGAGGATGAAAAGCACTTGTTGTAGTGCTGGTGAAAACTGCCGATGTGCTCAGTGATTCGTGTGTGAAGTTTCCGGTGGTTTTCTGTAACGTTTAGCTCATGGTATGTGTTGTTGGTTGATGCGGAACTATTTAGCCAGACGATGTCGGAATCTTGTAGAAACTGATGAGCGCCAAGTGACTCGTCCCTTACTTGAGCGGGATATTGTATTGTGTTGTCGCGATGCTGTTTTCCAATTGCAGGAAGATGCAGAGAAGCCACTGTATGTCCAGGTAATTCTTCTTCCGGTGAATGATGAGGGGTTGCTGTTGTGTTGCGTATTCGCGTTGCTTTCTTCTTCGTTGATCCTTCGCTCTCAGCAGCAACAGTGGATATATTATGCAGCGACGTTCCCATCGTTAATTGCCAGAACCTGGAAGGGTGTGAGCGTTAGCTATGAAGCATTACCAAAGGGATAGAGAGAGAAAAGGTCGGAAGAAAGAGAGAAGGAGAGAAAGAAAAGGAGAGCGAAAAGAATAAAAATTTAATTTTAAGGTTGCTACATATAAAATAATACAATAAAAGGAGATTGTATGTCATTGTAGACGTTCGATTTTTATAAACTTTCGTTTCTTTGACTGTTAGAAAAGTGAGTGGAATAATAATTACAAATGTCGCCGGATGGGGTCCGAGAAACTGCATTTATGAATGAGAGACGCACGGCTTGGGGACCGAGTGAAAAGGGGACCTTTGTTGTTCCTCTGTTTGTAAGTTTGTACTTTGTTCTTGCTTGTATATGTTGGAGGAAGGAGAGAATGAGTTCGGCCCTAATGCTCGTCTATTGTTTTCAGGAAAAGTCAGTTTGTTTTTGTGCCACATAGATTTTTAAAATGATGATCGGTTGTGCATAAATGGCGATGTTATTGGCTGTTTTCGTTTGAGTTTCTTAGTGTATGAAAATTTATTTTCTTATATTCAGATTTACATACTGTAATTATGTTATGTAAGGCTGAAATTTTTAGTCTGATTAAGATTTTGCAAAGATATATATTATTGCCAAACATTTTATTTTTTTGAAACAAAGTTATGAATAGAATTTATGTCTCTTTACTTATATGCAGTGATCTGATGATTTTGTTCAGAATAATGAAGGTGTCTATGTGGCTATATTTTCTCAAGTAGCTTTAAATTTTTGTTTCTAATACAGGTTTTTTTTCAGAAAATCTTTTTACTTTCAAACTATTCATTTTTGTAAATTTGTTGAGTCATACAATTTTGTCGAAATGAAAATTTTATTTTATTTTCATGAATGTTCATTTTGCCTATTTGAATTAGTTCGAATTTGGTCTTTTTAAAAAAGTTTTCTGATCATAAATGTGTATAGTATGTGACTATTGATTTTTACACAGCATTTTCTCGAGTATCGTAAAAAAATTTTGGTATCAGGACAGAATTTTTTCATGCTTTTGTGGAGCTTGACTATTTTTAATCGGGCTCAAAGAAAGTTCCAAAATAATATCGAAAATATTTTTGACATCTAAAAAAATTTTTAGAGCTGCTTGTTATGATTTCTGAATTGTCGATAAAAACCATTAATTTTAATATCATATCTAATTGATTACTTTTGATGGTCACAACTATGTTGTCAATGTAAAGGTAACTATGAGTTTTTTTTAAATGTCTTTGATACTGCAAAAGGTTTTGACTACATCTGCTTGCAAACTATAAGAACTTTCATGGTCCAATTAATATGGTTTTTCGAAGATGAAATTTACTGTTTTCATATCACATTGTAGTTTTTTGGGCGTCAAGTTTTTGATTCTTTGAAATTTGATGAAAGTAACTTGAATACATTTCTTATTATATGATACCAGTTCGGTGAGTTCTATGAACATTTTATTTATTTCTATTTGAAAAGTTTTTGAATTTGAAATTACAAAACATTAATTTGATATTACTCCAATGATTTTTTTGTAATGATTTCAATAAGCTTGTTTATGAAAGTTAATTGAATGATACTTTCTATAAAATCGATAGCAAAAACCAAAGATATCAATTCCGTATAAATTCGTTTTTCGGAAAATCAGACAGTTGTCTATTTGATACAAAATTGTCTTCGGTATTTATAGTACAGACTATGTGATACGGTTTGTTTGAATGAAATTTTTTTTTATTATTGCAGCTATTTTTTGTTTGTAACTGTCCCCAAATATCTATGAGAAACTATTATACTTTGTTAGATGCTGCGTATGCTTTTATACGTTTGATCGTCTGATTGTGCAAACGATACAATTTTGATTGTTATGTTTATTATTGTGTATTTTTTCCATTAACAGATTTTTCATTTTTATTTCTTTCGAACATTGATCATTGAATGAAATAGTAAGTGTTGAGCGGGCTGTCGCTTTTGAACGAAATGCACTGAGAAATTTTTCAAAAATTATCAGAATATTTGATTATCAAAAATGATATCGTTCGGACGCTGCTGTAGTCTGTTTTTGATAATTTCTTTTAATTTTAACATATTGTTCAGACTGCGTTCAATGATCGATCGAAATAAAAATGTGAATTCATGGATATTTCATTTTGAATGTTATATAGCAGTTTATTTGTGAACTAAAATATTTCGGATCTGATTTGATACCAGTGTGTACTTAGTAAATTTTGTCCTTCTTTAAAACTAATATATCATAAAAAAGGAAAATATACTGTTGATTCAGATGTGTGTGCTTTTGGATTATTGTAGTCGCTTTCAGTCCTCTTGCTAAAATACCCATAGGCAAAGATTCATTACTTGATGTTTTTGACCACCACAGTTTTTAAACTTATTATTAGTTTTGAATCCAAGTCAAACTCGATAAATTTGGTACAAGTAAAATGCAAATCGTAGTGACCATTCGAGAAGAACAGGTGATTCTAATGTTGGATCAAAGCTTATTATTAAGTTTTATTTTTTGATTTGATTCAAATTTTCAGGGGTTTTTCACATGAGGAGAAAGTGACGAAATAATTTCATGCTTTTTTTGGTACACAATAATTTTACAACAAACCGTGCAGTCAAAACCAGACAATAATGAGTAGAAATAATTATAATTAGGATATGAAAATGAGCGTTCAATCGAAAGTGCATACAATGACATTAATTTTGTAAGTTCACAAGGACTTTAGATTGAAGGGCTGAGGCAACTGTACTGGATTTTAAAAAGATACTTTTGAGGATTTTTTGTTTGGTCGCATTTATAATTCCATGTGAGTGAATGAAAAAGTTCATTTCCAAATATTTTATATAAACTATTTCGAAATGTGCGTGATGTGTTGCTTTTGGATCATCCAGGAGTAAACAATTTATGTATTTTTAGAATACATTCGTAGAATGAAATAAGACCGAATAGATTTCTTCAAGATATTACAATTTTGTGATCGAAAATCAGTTTGAAATGCCTTCAATGCAAGAGTCTTGTGAAAAAATTTAGAACATTCAGATGCAAGATGCAATAAATTTTGAACAATCAATTACGGCACAACTTTTTTCAGTGTCAGGTACATTCAGTTGCATGTGGTTAGATTTTCAATACTATTTACAAGTTATATCTTACGTGGGCAGCAAATATTACAAATGTACACTGTTTTCTACTTTTTTGGTTATCCTTACTTTTAGAATAGTACTTTTTTGGTATCAAACTACTATAACTGATATTTGGATGCAAACTAGTATTTTTTTATTATCAAAATATTATCAACTACGAAAGAACACATATCAGTAACTATTTCATTGGTTGATTTTGTACTAGATTTTGCAAGATAATTAATGTAAATAAATTCTACATTTTGTAAATAAATTTTTCTCATATCAAAAAATTGGGATAAACATAAACAAACATCTGTATATTTTTCAAACAGTGCAAACAAGTAGATAAAGATATAGAGGTTAAGAAAATAGCAAAGCAAATTTTGTGATTTAATTTTTTTGTCTGAATAGTGTAACAAATTTTGACTATTTTCGAAACAAAACCATTTTTTACAATAACAATATAAATATACACATTCAACTATTAATAATTTTGACACTTTATGGCGCGAGGGTCTTAGTGCTTGGATAGAGTAAGGCCTAATGCAAGCATTTTTTCCAAATAACCGTTCCGCCGAAAAATAATTAATTTTGAATCTCGACCGACAAATCTCGCCGCGTGCATTCGTTCTATTCTACTATAAATATTTGTATATATTATTTTCACAAAATTGCAAATGAACTTTTCGGATCACTGTTGTGCAGCTTTTTGGATCATTATCTGAGTTTTTTATTTTGTGTCCGCAATTTTTTTATTTCCCATTTGCTAAAAGAAAAAACTCTTTCACGGGGCCATGACAGAAAATGTGTACCCGAAACATATCGCTTTATTTTACCCCGTATGAAATATTTTTCTACTGAAATCGGAATTTTTAATTCAGATCTAACGAAGCATGTGCACCCAAATTTCTCATCACGTACTCGGTGAATGCGCGCTGATCCTTCATTAATATCTATCGTTTTTACATATTTGTCCATTCACGCTTAGACATGAGATTTCTAATTTTAAATAGTGTCGCGAAATCTTTGCTAGCGAACGGTCAATACAAAATATTGAAGTGAAAATTTTTTTTGCCTGCCTAGGATGCGAATCGCGTAATGTGTCTGTTTGTAAAATTGATCATGTAAGAGAGAAGCTCCCGAATTTTTGTTCAATTTTTTTTTCATTTCGCGGCGTTTCTTTTTTGTAAAAGAAGAATAAATTTCGAAACCCCAGGAAAATTATTGTGGTATACATGGATATGTATACGTCTATATTTAATTAATCCACTTAAGAGTTGCCGAGAGCGTTCTTGATCGTGTGTAAATCTAAGTATGTGTGCAACATAGTTCAGCGGCGTCCTGTTTACAATTTTAAACAGCCTATCGTGTTTCGAATTTTCATTTTTTTTCCTATCAAACACACACGCAATCGCACGATCCTATGAAATTAGAGCTTGTCAACTTGGAAGAGCTTTCAATATTATTTTTGATTTTTCGTTCGAAGGTGCGCGCAATCGCGACTCAAGTACGCATAATTTTTTCCTTTATTGTTACTTTTTTCAAAATCTTTTATTGTGACTGCTTGTCAAGGAGCGTGACTTATTTTGATTTTTTTTAAATTAATTTGCGGAACAATTTATCGAATGTACAGGGGAAAGTAAGAAGTATAAAATTAATCGCGAGCAACGAGATTTCTCGGATCGATGAATAGTGACTAAACATCGTCTTTTTTAATGATCAACTTTAGCCGGAATTTCGAGTAGTCTATCGGAGCACCAAAACCGTCGAATATTACTACATTAATAACTTATTATTTTGTTGCAAACGCAATTAGATTATTTCTATAAATATGTACACAGCCAAAAACAAAAAAAGCCTTTGTGATGGTTTTTTTCATTGTTAATAAAGAACCACTGTCTTTTTTTTGTAACTTTATCTTTGTTCATCCTTTTTGGATTATTAATGAAAAATTTGGATCTTCTTTAACTAATTTAGTTTTTTTCAATTTATTTAATTTTTTGTTAAATAACAAGGCCGAAACGTTACTCACCGATTAATAAGTCCAAGGTCCCTTTCTCTCTGTCAATTCGCTGGATTATTACATCTCTTGCGTTTACGCGTTGTGAGAATACATCACTGGTTCGCAACTTGAATTATCTTCCCAAATTGAACAATGGGCGTATGTAGTAGTAGTGCGACGTCTTCCTCGATCTGCGACAGAAAAATAAAGGGCACGGAGCACTTGGAGATTAGCGATCATTGCTAAGCGGAAGATTTTCGTAATCTTCTGATTGATGATTGATTGAGAGTTTCCATCCTTGAAAATCGACTGTTTTCTTGTAGTACTCAAGGCCCTATTGATGAATACGAAAGTTGATTGCGTGAGTTCTTTTGACGTTATGTAAAATTCGTTGGAGATGTTTCTAGCAAACTCGAGAAGACGAAGATTCGACGGAGGATGACTTGACACGTCGAGGACGATCGCCAGTCGCTGCTTGGCTTGCAGTAGGTAATTAGCGGGCGAAACCCGGACCAGCCGGGGCCCGACTAACCGTCACTGAGCTCTGGCTGGCGACTGGCTACGCTCGATCGCGCCCTTCGTTCCGTTCTATCCCGAGTTCGGTTGTGCACTGTGACAATTCGCTTCAGCTTGGGCCTTTTATAGTTACAACTGCGCGTCGACAAGCACGTGGTGGCAGTGCTGCCGGCGCTGCTGCTGCTGGTAGGGGCTGCTGCTGCCACTGCCAGAGTAGTGGGGGCCGCTCGGCGTGCTCACGAGGGCGAGGGCCCTGGGAAAATATCAACTCGATGCACATGACGAAGGGGAGCTCGGCCCGGCTAGTGTACAGCTTGTTGCATGCCTCGACTCTCCCTGCATGCATTACTCGATACGTTACAATACCTGTTCGCGCCATACGACTCGAGTTTCTTTCTTCTTTCTTTTCTTTTCTCATTTTCTTCGAGAGGGGTTACGGAAGCGACAAGGGGTGCGCGACAAACTTCGTCAGGACAAGATTTATATTTTACTCTGCGAATATAGCTATATAGTTTTTGAGTGTGCGGTTGCTCTTAGAGATGAGACGGATGGCAATTTTAAAGCTCGCAAAGCGGTGGGTCCTAGCGAAATATTTGCAGATAAGTTTTGCTAGACAGATTTTTTAAATCCGAGTAAGAGCTGATTACTTGGGGCTCGACGTATTTATTTGTTTTGAGTAATAAATCTTTTTCAACAAGTTTTTTTATATCAACTATTCCAATAACTTTTTCATATAATTTTGTTTTTCAACTTCAAAATAGGATTGAAAAGGACATATCCCAAATTTAGATGATTTTTGAGATTGAACTTCTTCACTAAAATTAACAATAAATGTTCAAAATGTCAACAGAAACCGCAACTAAAGTAAAAATGAAAATTATGGGACGAATTTTCAAATATTCTATACAAGATCATTAGAAAAAGCTTTATGAATTTTTTTGCATTATTTTTCCTCAAACGCTAGCGTAAATATTTATTTTTACCTCGACTTCGAATTTTTATTTAACATTTTTGTATCAATTCTAGGTTGATTGAAATATTCAAGGGCATCAAAAACTTAAAAGAGTCAAGAGCAAGTCGATTATCACTTTAATAATCATTTTTGAATATGACACCACCTTTAAATATATTTTATACTTTTTAAATAAAATTAGTATTTAAACTATTTTTTAAAGAAAACATTCATATTGAATTGAAAAATTTAAACGCATTATTATTTTTCATCAATAATAAATTTACGTAGTAAAAGACTATTGAGCAATCTGCACAGCATTTGAATCAAGATCAATGTTTTGTCCATTCATAATAAATATTTCTTCAATCACAATGAAACAGCAACAAATCATATCTTATAATAGATTTTAGAACCGTTTTCATGGCTCTTTATTGGATGTTCGTCCCCCTTATTACGTAGCTTTGAGAGAAATAGCGATGCAGCAAAAGGTGCGTGCTTTTGCTCTAGGGTGGCTTGCAGCTCGTATCACTGTTTCATCCCTGCGAAGTCGAAGAAACGCGTTCTCTCGCTCGATCTCCTGGGAATATTTCATTGGCCAGGTGATCATCATCCTCGCCCCGATTTCTTCTATCTCTCTCGTTTTTTTGATCGTGGGGTTGCACGTGAAAATCTAAGCTCGAAGCTGACCGTGTTTTGATTCTTTTCTCCGACGCTTCCATCGAATCTAGCTCTTTGTTTTCTGCAGACGAGCTTTATAATGTAAATCTTTTAATTTTTACATTGAATCTTGCGTGAGAGAATTTTTTCTCAATTTCATTTGCCTATATGGACTTTATTTTTCACTCGAATAATACGAATGAGTCTGCTCGATTTTCATTCAGTCTTCGTGATGTAATAACCTCCTACCGGACGCAATTGCAATGCGAAACTGTGTAGCTGTCGAGAACGAGTAGTTTATCCGCGACAATAGACCTTTCCCGAGTAACATAATCACAAGTTCATCATCTAGATTTTTCTTTCCGCCAAGTGGGGTGTGCACGAGCTGCTGATCTTTCAAAACTCCCTAGTAAAAATCTTTTCCGCATTTCAACGGCTACGTACATTGTATTCCTGCAGAAGCAGGTGTGCTTTTAATACATACCGGCATTTGAGCCGTGATTTCGTATGCAGGAAGAAGTAAAAAAATTAAGTTCTATCCATGATGTTTTGTTATTTTATGATTGTAAGGAACGTATTTATGCGATGAGCTCAAGGTATTATACTTATAGATTGTCAGTTATTTACATAGTTTTTTTTATCTTCTTTTTAATCGTCTAGCAACGATTTATTCATAAAAAATATCGAAGGTACTAATGTATTGGTGTCAGGAATAATTGTACTTTTTGTTACTATAAATCAATTGATACAATATACCTGAAAAATCGTATAAAATCAAAAGTAATTTTGGAAGAAAAATTGTTGTTTGTATTGACATAACCGAGAAAGAATCATACGAGAACAATGCAAGCAGACTTCAGATTACTATCATATTTTTCTCTTGAAAAATGGAAAACATTTGTAACTGTATATCATCAAATAATTTTTCAACGTGAATATCATCAAAAATAATTGACATATTTTTCGTGCTTGTCAACCAGACTGAAAAACTTAAAAATTTAATATGAACGAGCAATCAGTTTTACAATTTAACGCAAAGATTAAACATGTATTTAATGATTGCTACAGTAATAATGCGTTTAATTTTGAATCAATGGAAGCTTTGCTGAATTCTATAATTAGGACGCAGATCCATAATCAAATAATATGATCTTGCAGCTGCACATGAGCTTGCACTAAATAACTAATAAATGATATGCGTCTAGTTTTAAAGGAAAAAAGAAGACAGCCAGTATCTTAACGGTTTTATGATGAACGAGCCATCAGAGTCTCGCCGCATGTCTGATTTATACGCACGGAGAAGCAAGCACGTGCGCGCGGAAGCATCTTTTATTGGTTTTGATCCTGTGTACACGCGTGGTGTTGCGGCTGCAAAAACCGATCTTATATTGCTCAGCTGCACACGAGTAAAGGTACACACGGAGCCACGGCGTCGTAAAAGGCGCAGGGTGAATGATTTCTGCTATGCGCCAGCGTCACGCTTATAGGACTCGTAAAATATCCACAAGAAGAGCCGCGCGCCTAGCGTTACTTTCCTTTTTATACTTTTATCCACGGATATTCCGGTAAAATATACGTGACCCAAGCATGAATTATTAGAAAATTTTCGGCTTCGAGGCGGTCTGCTGAGCATTAAAATAAAATAATCTACTCAGCGGCGACGAGTATTGCGTCGTTCGACGTAACTCGGGTATCATCTTCGCCTTTCAACAGTCCAGCGCGGATAAAGGACACATTCAACGGTCCATCTCTCATTTGCATAATAACTCTTGGTGAGCGAAATTGATGCTTCAGCCCAACTGGTATATTGCCCAAGACAGCGAGGAACAATGAAAAAAGGAAGGGCTGTTTCAACGGTTCGAGACAATCCGTTATCTATTTTTCGCCGCGTCTTCGCTCGTTCACAATGAGGAAACCAGTCTGTGGTTTCAACCCTTCTTCTCATGGCCTGGCAAATTTCTCACACGACAGGTTCGCTGAAATTTTTTCACAACTCACAGCCAAGAGGGGATGCGCGCTGCCAAGTTTATGCTCGTCTACGATGGCGTGAATGTCGTTGGATTTAAACGTATCGTTTTGCGCAGCGACGCATTTTTGTATTTGACACCAGCCGTAGGACGTAGCTTGGGTTACGCCGTTTTAAAGTTCAACCGTCTCTGGAGATGTTACCCGTATCACGACGGAGCAAGCTCGAGGGATTTAACATCTTTAAAATGAAATTACAGCTGTTTATTTCCAATGCTATTTCCGTTTTTTTGTGCATACGTTATTTATTATTTTGCAAAAGATCGGGCGTTTCAAATCGTGTGACAAGTGCGCTGATTAAAGTGATAATACCAATTTAGTGCCGTGAAAATAAATCAGTTTTTCTAAAGATTAAAATTGAAAAATTTGTAGATTATAATCGCTTTAGTTGTAATAAATCTCACGGAATCCGTCAAAACAATCCATTAATCTTTATTTCAATAATCTCACATCTACATGGTGTCTAAGTCAATACATATCATCGACCCAGTAATTTTTCTTTTTATCCCGACATCGAACGCGTTGATCTCCCGATCGAATCGCAAATCGTCTCACGCTCATCAATACTACAAATTATATAAACACACAAAACATACGTCAGTCGAGCCATTTAAATGGGACACGTGACCTGCATCGCAATCGAAATAAAAAAGCGGTTTGGACTTTTGGATACATACTTGACAAACGAATCGTCGTGTGAATCACCGCGGGGGGCGGCTCCCATTTTTTTTTCGTTATTCAATATATGCGGGTGGACACCAAAGATAGAGAAGCTACAAATGAGTGGCGATGAACTCTTACGCGGTAAGTTACCCACTTTTGGCCAGATGTAATTTCCAGCTTTATACCAATAGCAAAATATAACGTCATCAATTTTGCATCATGGCAACGACAATATTCGATCTTATAGTCCAACTTTTACAACAATAAACATATTCTAAAGGTAAGTATACAGTCAAGCAGGAGAAGCGGAAGCTTCAAGTGGTAGAGTAAACATTAGCAAATTAATTTCGAGCTTGCATATCAGCACACATGCATACACAAACACCAGTAGCACCGGTGAATTTCCTCGTTCTATGTAACGTGTGCAAGAGTTCGTTGATTATCAAAACCAAGAGAAAGAGCGAGAGATAGAGAGAACAACAAGCAAACGATGACAAAGCTTTGACAGACAGGCAGACTAATTATGCAGAGGATGGAATGTGTTGTTGTTTCAGAGGTAATACCTCCCCACACATGCCCACATGCGAGGGCTGCACTGTCTAAATGTTGGCATATTTCTTGAATGTACTTGTACCACGTGCTACAAAGTGTACAACAATAATAATAATAATAATAATAATAATAATAATAATAATAATAATATCAGTGTAATAGCGAATGCGATACAGTCAAGGTTACATATTATTCGAGCTCCGTCGTTCTAATATACAACTGTGCACGTGGCAGGCGAGAAAATGGAAATGCGATGAATACTATAATAATGTAAAACACACCCAACGCTTCCCCCAATTGACGAAATTTCTGCATAGCTTTGCACATCCATGGAAATGAAAAGAAAGAAAAAATCAAGGAGCGAGGCGATACTGCTTGTGTCGGAATTTTCACATCCCCTCGTTTTCTCACAAACAGAAGAAGCACCAGATTGACATAGCACGACTCACCTTCTTTTTTCCTAATTTTTTCCGCGCGTAAAATAATCACAGCTTCCTACACGAATAGAAATTCGAACTTTAGAGCTTTGTGTCAGCAATAGCATAGTAGGTTTTATTGAAATGAAATATATGATGGGTATATTTACTTGCTACACATTTGACGCATTTAGAAATAATAGCTTTAGTTGGGTGAAATATCTAAAAAGTCATTGAAGCTTGAAATCAAATTCATTGTTGTAGGAGTGAAATTTTGATAGTTCATTACGAAACCCTTCAAGCGTATAGTGTCGCTGAGATTCGTTTAAAGCATTGAAATTGAGAAAAATAACAAATAATATTCTTGACGCTGTGAATCACCCCTCAGTGGTCTTTTTTGATAACATTATTGATGTGCTATTGTATCGATCTTGCAACAGTGAATCTATATGATGAAGTATCAGTTTGATTTGTTATTGGGCATGCAGTATGGTATACATCTTCTTATGTATAAGCATTTTTAAGCGGTAACATTTGTTCATATAACTTGCCCACTTTATAATGACCGTCTTTTTCCTATTTCTTACGATATATTCGACCACTCTAATTTAAATATCTTATTTTATTGCTGCATTAAACAAGCGTGATATCTTGGTTTGCTCATCGAAAAACTAATCTGTATTCTACATTGAATCTATAGAATCAAATTTAGCGAATGTATATTACAGTTTCTAGCTGAAAAAAGATATTTTCTGCATGTTTGAATTGGCAAATGGAATAAATCTGTTAAAATTACGAAACGCAGTGGTAAAAAAGCACACGTCATCACAAGGAAAAACGTCATCGGTCCCCTGCTTAGCGGAGAATTGCACACGTGTGCGCGCGGGGCCCTTTTTTCTACAGCAGGCGCACCCTTCCACGCAGCATACAAAGATCCAGTCTTAAGAACACAGCTTTATACTTTGGGCTGCGCAGCTTATGTACCTGAGAGTCGGTCGCACACGTATAAGAGAGCATCTGTCCGTTCAACGAAATTCTCACGCGTAACTTCCAGTACCGACGTCGCAGTCGAGCTTCTTTGTGCAGCTATTTGGGCGCAGATGTTGCTGCTCGCTCGCGACCTATAGCGAAGAATAAGTACGCCAGGCACGCGTACGTCGCCTGCGATGACGTACCACGCGAGGACAATAACGCGCGTCGTGCAAGACACGCCGAGCTGAGCTATATAAGGGTAATAGGCTGCGCAGGCCTCGTGCGCGATCGAGCCAGTAGTCTCTTTTGTACAAAAATCATGCATGGGTATTTTTCCTTCCTTATATCCGAGCAGTCTCGGCGCTCTCTCGCTCACTTGGGAAATATGTAACGTCTCGCGGCTTGCGCATTGTGCGTGGCTTGCACGCGAGAGCAGCCTCTCGATTAATCATCTAATGCACGTCATGCACACTTTGATTTTCAAAAAGCCTCCCTCGACTGCATCTCCAGCGCGCGAGGAGCATCGAAAAAAAAAACACGCAATCGCTGCGCAAATATTTTCTCCGGAAGCATCAGCAAGAAAAAAAACGAGATATGCTCGCCTGAGGGGATCTTGTCACGTTCAAAATAAGGTGTACAAACAGGAGAATAATCGAGGAGGTGTAAAAACACTCTCTACACAGGCCGAGAAAGGCCGTGCATAGATTCGAAAACAGTATACACACGAGTACGTAAGATATAGCTCGAGTTTGCATGTCCCCTTGCTTTTTTGCGTCTCGAGTCTCGAGGGTGCCCGCGGCTCGCACGCGCGCCTTATACGTGCTCGGCATTTGACACACAAACTTCTCTCTTTCTCTCTCTCTCTCTCTTTCTTGTCGTTGTTTTCAGATCTTTACGGCGCAAGTAGGTTAGAAATTTTATATCTGATCAAAGGGTTCTTAAGATGCTCTCGGGGTATAGCTGCGAGTCAGGTGTATGTTTTCATGCGTTACTTTTTTTGTTCTAGTTTAAAGAAAAAACTTTTCGTGTTACAACTAATTTTTTACTTGGTGTAAAAGTAAATTGAACAAAAATAGGATTATTTGAAAATTGGTGCAGTAAATTGGCATCCCGGATAAGTTACCCCGGATCTAATAACATTGACAGCAACAGAGCGAGCGCAGCGGCATGTATACCCTGGAGCACATCTAAAATCCATCGAGCACGGCCGTGTGTTTTCGTAAGACCTCAGGGAAATCGGCCGAACAAGTGGCCTCGACGCGGCGCGGCTACATGGCGTGCGCATACGCGCATACTCGCCCAGCGCCGTTCTCTATACATGTGTAATAATTTTCCGCATCAGCAGCTAGGACAATGCATCCGACTGCCTATACGTATATACGCGCGCACCCCTACACGATCGAGAGCGAATCTATATGAATATAGGCTTTTGACATTTTGCATTATTATACGCGCAAAAGAAAGTTCAAAGGGGTCGCATTGCGCGGCATTTATAAGGAAAAAAGGTGTAATGTATAGGGTGGAGCTGTATCGCGATGCGTGAGCGAAAGAGAAAGAGAGAGAAGAGCTGCAGGGGCAGTGAAGTGCATGCGTGTATTCGTAACGGCCGTTTCCCGGCTCAATATCTGTCTGATCGTTTTCCGCTTTGGGCGCTTTCATTCGTCCAACTGTTCAAAAAGTTCGAAAATCAATTCGATCAGACGAAGATTATCGATTATTTATTTGGTTCTGTTTTGTTTTTCCTCTTCCGTCCGAAGCACTCGAAAAATCAAGTAGCTGAGGTGATGAATTATAAGGGCGCAGTCGACACTGGCCATTTGTTTCAAATCGAGGTTCTCACGCCTGCAACAACTTGAAAACTGACCCTATTATAAAGTGAAAATCCACTCGGGCGTGGTGTGTCGGAACGCCCGCTGTTATTCGCTCGTATCTTTATTGCGTTTATTGATCGGCCGGAGAAAAGTTTCGAACGCGCCGAAGAACGTTGAATATTTCGTATTCGTTCTATTTCATTTATTGGGGCGGAAGTCGCCAATCATCGACAAATCCCCGCATAATCGAAAACATTTTGCCTGCATATATACAATCATCGGCGCACTCGTCGCGTAATGTACATCCCCGAAAATCAAACTACTATGCGCCACTTGGGCGTTACGACAATACGCAGCTATTGCAATAACAAACTATCGACCATCGCCGGCAACCCTTACCGCGCCCGCGTGTATGTGCTGTAAATGTGCGGGTGGGCACGCGCGCGCGTACGACCGACCGCATCATCGTCACGCGGAAGTGACTCTCTCTCCTTCTCTTTCCCGCCCTCGTAAAAACATATGTATTAAAGCTCATGCGGAGGATAATACGATACCGGGGGATCGTTGTAATGCATGCTTCGCCTCGTACTTGCAGCTAAATTTCGACTTTGCGACGAATAATGCCGTACATACGGGTGTTTATGCCAAAGATGTCCGTTTCGTAGTGTAATAATGGCAGGCTAAAAAGATAAGGGCGTGGATGATCTTTTAGTTTTTGCGTTCGGTATAACAATGTACGTATGTGAAAATTTAATCGTACTCGTAAACAACCCAAACTGTGCGGGCGAAATATTTGTGAAGCGTTTGAACTTCTGCAAACTTAATGCGCTCGCCAACGTCCGTCGTTAATTAATAGAAACTACACACGCAAACCCACACATGCATGTATTTTCTTCAATCATTTCGGTCACTCGAGTTGTGACGTACTTATATGAGAGAGACAAAGAGAGAAAGAGAGCCTCTCACAGCGCCAACTACGACGTCAACGCCGTTGTTAAAGTCCATCGTCGTGGGAGAGAGAGCTTAGATATTAGAGGGTGGTCAGCTGAATAATTCAACGGAATGCAGTGATTTGCATATGTGCACGTGTGGTACTACTTCCCCTGTCTCGTAGTGGCCTTCCTTCCGCACAATCGGAAGCCGTGGGAATGTATACAATAGAGGACTGCGTGTTGGCTATGATATCATTCGCACTGATTTTTATGTTTACAAGTAATATCGCTCGCAGCTATGATTACCGACACGCTCATTTGCATGACAATTTCGAGGGAGTGATAATAGCATGTGAAATACGATCTCTATAATAAGAATAACGATAGAATAATTTTTTCACCTGCTCGCCCGACTTTAAATTATAAATAAAAACCTGCAATGTTCAAATAATTTTCCCACTAAAATATTTAATCGTAGCTAGTAAAAAATGTTGTTTTCTACTATAGAATCTCGCCAATGTGTGCCTCTGTTTACATAGTTTTACGCTGAACTACGACAACTTATAGGACTTCGCAGTGTATCGACTCAAGAAGACCTCTTTAGTGCTTAAACAGCATTGGAAGCAACGACATAGATGGCCTCTGAAATTCACTTCGTTATGTGAACTGTAACACGAAAGAAATGTTAATTAAGTTAATAAAACTATGGCAACGAAATTATTTTTTTTCGGTGTAATATTGCCATTCGTAAGTTTTGCTGCGTTTAAAATCAGTTTAATTGACGTGGATCCTAGCCATTTTCCATGTCATCATCAAAAACAAATAAAAGGTGATCTAGAGGAGCTATTTGACTTTCTTGTGAGTCCACACGCTCTAGAAAAGGTAATTATACAATTAAAAATGGTGTTGAAAATATTAGGCATTTAACGATGTCATACTTGTATATAAATGCCAAAACAGTGATAACGTCAAACGAAAATTTGTCAAAGGCACTCTGGGCTATTGGCGATTTATATCAATGCGAGTGCACTCCGAAGCATTTTGTCATTTTCTACCTCGACCTGTCCTGAGCTTATTGCGCAGATATCGATATACTGACAATGTTTCGTGCATGTGCATGCGTAGATAAGGTCAACTGTTATGCAGAACTGCATCACAGTAACGAATAATCTGATTATTTTACGCTGCAAAGTATCGTGAAAAATTATTAGAACGGATAAAAAGTCATTGTTCACTTAAAATAGGACATGGTCGCTATTTGTTATAAAAGTACTTTGTTAAAACTATAGTTTCCTTTTTTATTTATTTGTTTTTTTTCCTTAGCAAATTATACAAGTTCAAATAATTCACCATGTCGAAATGCATGGAAAAGAGGATGCCCAATACATTAAAAGCTTAACCTGTTAGACCTGATAATCAAGCATTTAAAAAGCACAACGTGAGAAAGTTTCGAGAGACTGCGTGTCCAGTTTTAGAAGGGTTGTCTTCCGTTGTATTCTCTATGCACACATTCGTATTCGGACGATGCCTAGGGGCGGATCTGAAGCGCATCTAATTTAAAGATAGCAAGCCAAGCAAAAGATATCTTGGACCTATCCTTTTAAGACTTAGCAATGTAAAGAAAGCTGCTTATAGCAGAGGTCCGAGACTATAAATAATGTATTCTTACAATTGAGCTAACCAAAATCATACATTTTCGGATCAGGCACCCCAAAGTTTTAATTTAATTAGAGAACTGGCATTGAACTATTCGTTTTGCATCATCGTATATTTTTCTTTTCAAAGCTGTTACCTTGGATGCGAAGACTGAGAGAGGCAGACAAGAGAATCATTGCCGTCGGCAAATCTTATAAAGCTGAGTTAGAAGTACCCCTATTTGGTAAGAACTATTCTTTTTTGTATTTATCAATTCATTTAATCTTTTATTCTGAGCACAGGTGGAAGAACTATTTATGTCACAATTATAGATTACAAACCATCAAAATTAATTGTCTTTGAAGTATCAAATGACTTCTTAAAGCAAAAAATAATTATTCAACTACGAGGGTATCATGATCGAGTGCTTTTAATAACAGACATCCACTTTCGAAGAAATTCCGTTTTTTTTCATGTAAGTTTGAAATAGAAATCAACATTATTATATCAAAAACGTTGATCTCGATTTCTGAAAATTGAACAAAGCGGCTATTAAAGAAGAAATTCGTACACGAAAATTACAATTTTTTAGGTGAAACTAGGATTGCGTACGCTTATTTGGTCAATATTATTATTATTATCAATTTGAGAAATTCTTATGCAAAAATATAACATTTTGGGCATGAATTTCTCCTGAATAGCTAAATCCGAGATTTAAATAAAAAAGTGTTAGTGCTCTTACGTATAATGAATGCAATTCGAGGATTTTATTGTTTAGCATCATCATTAAAATTACAATTATATCAATATATGATAAGTATGAAAATAATGTATTATTTTTACAGTATACAATTGGATATTTTTTTAGAAGATACTTGGAAAATCGTCTGAAGAATTCTATGCAAAATGTTGCCAACGTTTTTGAAAGCCTCGATGGATTTTATAAAATACCAAACATTTCCCAACAATAATAAATTAAAACATTTTATTGTGATAAATAAAGAGCTTAAAAGGGTCTTAAAAAAGGAAATTTATTTTCATTTCTGATTTCTTTTCTCCTTTCCATCGAATAATTCGAAAAAATTCAATTAAAAGCAATAGAGATTCCTTCACAAAAATTAAAAAAATTTTTTTACTTCGTTCTAAATTCATCCAAGCAATACAGCGAAAATTCTACCTAAAATTTATCAGAAAGTCACAGGAAACCCAATCGAAATCGATGTAATTTCATCTGGATTCCACCTTGATCAGTACCTATATACATCCCTTGAAAATCCATCTGGAAATCCAGTCAACATTTTTTACAGAGTAGTAAAAAAATACACTCGAGCCTCCCTCAAATATTTCATATCTCAACAATAAACACGACCAAAGCATAGTACTGTAGACTCGTCAGTAATCTAATACTACTAACAGCTTTTGTTTATGATAAAAATTACAAGTATCTTTTGTTTAGGAAATCTAGGTGTTTTGTATTTTTTAGCATGTAACTTTCCGAATGATTTTTATTAAATTAAATTTGAAATTCTCCTTTTTCACATCATTTAGACAAATATTATACGAAAAAATATCTTAATGCCCACTACAAAATTCTTAGTTATTGTACTACAAAACAGCATTTTAGTAGCGCCAACTAAAATGTTAGTTACCGTAGTTAACTAACGTTTACCGTAGTTAACCACCCTAGTTAATTAAGTAAAGGTCGATTTTGTGAGCGTATGGTACGCTATTTTGGAACAACAAAACATTATTCAACCTATTTATCAATGAACTGTTACTAAAAAACAAGGAAACAAATAATTAGTTTAAAACTAAGATAGTAATGTAATCTTGTGCCAAATTAGTTGTAAGACCAATAAAATCCGCTTTTTTTGACTCAAAATTTAGTTGGCGCTACAAAAATTCTGTTTTGTTGTACCAATTAAGAATTTTGCACTATTTCTTCTGTATCTGAGTGGGCGAACTTAAAAAACGAAAACAAAAATTTCCATACAGTCTAAGGCCATTAAAGTATATATGAAAAGTTTCATTAAGATTTGATATTTTCTTCTATTAAAAAAAAATGTTTGAAAGAAATATAGATCTTTTTGGTTTAGATGTGTAATGTCCCCTTAATAACACCTTGCCTACCTAAGTAATAAAAATATAAATTAGACAAATCAAACAATAAAAATAACTTTTTTTTACTACTTTATAAACTTGAAAATTACTTATTCGATACTTTGGTAGTGTTTGCTAGTTATATGTTTCAATCTATTTGTAAAAAAATAATTTAATTTTTCTTCATCTGCGTGAAATTTGCAGTACCAAATGTTGGTATTTTTCAAAATGTACCTAACATTTAAAATAGGATATTTTGAACTATACCAAATGAAAAAAAAAATTCTATAAGAATTCAGTTCCCTTGCGTATTGAATATGTAGCATATATCGAATGGGCCTATCATAATTCCAATGTTTGACAATTGTAAATATTTTTATAGATAAAACCATGCAAATGTAATTACTTATAGCTATAAGTTGCATTATATTGGAATAAGAAAAATATGTACCCATGCTGATGTGAATGTGAAGCATGATTTCTTGGCAGAATCCAGGAACTAAAAATTGGAACGGATAAAACTATGCACAATCTTATACTAAATGATATGAATATGACTAAAAAAGTAAATATAATTTTACATTTACATTTGTAGTTCGAATATCTGGACAAAAAAAACATCAACTAGGTAAAATTGAATTGTAAATGATCTCTTTTGCCAACATATTTTTTACCGATTGTTTTTTTAAGAGCTCATTGCTTTCAAGAATTTATGAAAATTATTTTTAAACACGTGAGTGTGGGAAATTTAGTAAGTTCGAGGCATGCGTGGTTGCCTACCCAACAGGCTGAGATTGATTGTGAGTAAGACTATCATATATTAAATTCATTCAATTGTTTATCGTCCTGAGAGTCGGAGAAGTCCATGTAACTTTCTAATGAGTTCTAATGAAAAGTTACTTATAATTGTAAATTAAATGTTTTAAATTATTTTTTGTGTATATCCATTTGTATTTTATTAGAGTGACACAGTGACTATCTAGATAATATAACGTACCAAAGAGTAGTTATAGTTAAATTACATTGAGAAATAATAGATGATAAAAATAAGTGTTTTTAAATGAATAGATAAGTATGCATAAGCTTATAAAATTATTCATACTATTATATATACACGGTTACTATTTAAAATAAACTCTCGGTAGAGCTACTGCCATTTCCTTATTACTCGTATCTTCATTGACCTTTATCATCTGAAGAATCAAGGTACGGAAAATGTACAACTCAAAAAAATGTGACGTCATAAAAATTTATATAAAGGGTAATTGGACCAGGGTTGGGCCATTTTGAAAAGAATTCTATAAAAATCAATCAAAAATATATTTGTCTTCCCAGAATATCAGAATAACAAGCACGGGTTTTATGGACAAAGAATTTTTTTTAATCACTGCTTTATGCAATGATATCTACAGAATCTTAGATGAGATTAGATCTTTTCAAATTTTCTTTTACACTTTTACAAACATATTTAGTCGAATATGAAAAATCTCACTGTCAGAATTCATTTACTATTCATAAGCTAGACATAATAATAAACACATATGAAGTAACGAATACATTTATAGTTCCTGTACGTTTATGTATCACCCATTTCAATGTATATATTCATGCTCAGATTTGAGTTGGACTAGGGTGTTAAACGTGCTTCTCGTAGACAGCGCTGGATATGAACTCGCCTGTTCATTATTGGTAAAACACACAGTTGAACATGTCGGGTTGCCAATGCACAAGGGCTACCACACACAACTTCATAATGCACATACATTAAGAAGTAAATGTTGTCCAGTTTACGGTGAAACTTTATTCAAATACCTATAGTTTACAGAATAATAATAATAATATAGAATTAGCATCAATTTCGAATGTTTCAAAATGATACAAAAATTTTGTGAATTATTGAACAGCGTCAAGTTATTTTATTGATTTCTCTTAGAAATTTTTTTAAAATTTCACAATTTTGATGTATGAATCGATTAGTTTTATCAGTAATATAAGAAAATAAATGGCATTCGTTAGGGAAGCTACAGAGAAATATTACTTCATTACTTAACTGTCTGAATCCATTGAACTTATCTAAGTATAATTGATTGAACCTGTGGCAATGTTTTACGAATCGATTGAATTTAATTGGCCACCAAATATTAAATATTACAAACGCATGCAATAAATATCACTTATGATAATACTACGATCTAATAATTAAAAAAAGATTCATTTCTGCAATTCATTAAAAATAACTTGAAAGCATTTTATTTACAATCGTTGCATAGAAATAATTTTGCGTTCAAATTAAGTATTGTTCACGAAGATTAAAATAATTAGATTGATTCATTCAAAGCAATATTTGAACCTGAGATGTAATTGATAGGTGTTGGCTTCAAGTTATATTTAATAATATAAATTTTATTTACAGTAATAGCCAAAAAATCTTTGAAAATAAAAAAAAATTAAACACTCTTTAATGAAAAATTAATAAAAATTCACAATCTAAAACATTATGACATAAATATAAAGGTATATTTATATACGTTCGAGTTTTTTTTTTAATTCTAAAAATATATTAATATATTTTCGTGTTTCTTTTTTAATTTTAAAAGACACATTATCTCAAAACTTTACTCAAATAATTCAGAAAATTATTACACCTTGTTTATTAAGTTTTTATTATTCAGTTATATGAGACCAACATATTTTTTTTTTTTAATTTGATATAACCTTTTGTAAAAAAAGTCTTGAATTCTTCAAAGCTCACACAGATTGTAATTAATTCACTAGAAAATATTGTATGTATGGATGAAAACTTTTGGTAAAGAAAACTTTTATGAAGTATTGAAACAAAATTTAAAAAGAAAGTACAAGCAAAAAAGGCATACTGTAGAAGCAGGAACATTTTTGAGATCCAATTAGAGTCAGCTGTACTTGTGCGACTATAAAAAGTCTCGAAACCTAGTGCGAAAATTCATATTTGAAATTCAGCCTGTTTAGGCGATCGAATATGAAACTCAAAAGAAAAAAAAAGAATCCTACTGAACTGTAAGAGTTACTTTTCGAAGATCTGTTCTCTAACTAGTTGCAATAACAATCAAAGAAATTAGAAATTGATATAAAAAATCAAATGAAATGATATATCGATTTTTTTATTAAAACTGTTTAACTTTACATAGATAAATTTAAAAAAATATCTTTTATCGTAGGAAAACTTAAGTTAGCAAATCAATTTAGAATAATATTTTATTGTTATTTTAATATGTAAATATATATAAGATTAACTTAGCAGTTTATAAAGTTTTTAAAATTTAGATTAACTTAATTATATGTCTTAGTTCACTGTACTTAAAATTTTTAACTTTTCAAACTTAGTTATTTTACATGTAATTTTGATCAATCTCAAGTACCATAGTAGAAACATTTTTTCATTTTTAATATCGTGAACTTGAACTTTTCTTGTTATGATTTTATAAAAGTAAAAGTTCTAACATCTGCACGACTTGATTCAATCCTATATAGCTTTTCGATTATTCTTAATTATTTGGTTTAGATCACTGAAAACTAATCTTGCGCATACTTTCAGTAATTGTAACCCAAGGAGCTGGTTTATCAGTGATCCATCTCTTAGTCCTTATAGTTGTTTTTATTGTTATCCTGTGTCTGTGGCGAATTGGTCGGTTTATCAGCGTCAGGCTTTGGTGTCGATGATTCAACTCCTCGGTCGTAGAGAAAACTCGTGCCGCGCGAGCCACCTGGCGCAGCTGTGCTGTCGTAAAAGTAATCTCGGGGCCTGTAATATCTATCGGAATGTCGAAAAATATTTTTTCTTTTGCCGCATTTTTCTCTCTTTGAAATTATTTGTTTTAAAATATTCTTACATTGA